TCTCTGATTTTTTTTCTTTATATATATATATATATGAATACATATATATCTTCAGCATTTTTCTCTCTCCCAGCTTTTTTTTTTATTTCATGCATACACTGCACGCAGACACCACTTTTTTTATTCTTTGACCGAGGGTGAAACAAAGTATTTTGGATTTTCTAGTTTCATTAATTACATTAATTTAGTGTTCCATACAGAAAAAATGAGAATTATTAATTCTAATAAAAAAATATATACATGTAAAAAAAATATGGCATCTTGATTTATGGTAAAAACAAAAATAAAAAAATTTAGTCCAAATTAAGCATTATTATTACAGGAATTTGATGCAAAAAATTTGGGTCTGATATCATTATTAGAGAATATTAAGACTAAAAGTAATATGATAAATTATTTGCTTTTTCGCCTGACTGACAATAATTATTAATGTCTTTTGATTTTTCCAAAATGTTACTAGAGTTTTAAATAATTTTTACACTCCAAAAAGAAATAGTGATATATTTTTTTAAAATTATTTATTTTTTTAATTAAATAAAAATAATTTTTTTTTTTTTATATACTCATATTTTTTTTATAAAAAAAAAATTATTATCTTATATAAACTTACGAATAATCGTACTTTTTTTATGATTTTTTTTAATTTTATACAACAATTATTATTATTTCTTTGGTCCTTACATGTTTTTTTTTTGGGGTGTTTGAATTGATGATACATTAGAACTATGAAATCTTAAATGTTGTCATGTATGAATATGATTATTATGTCAATTTGAGACACCTGTTAAAGTGATTTTATGAGATGAAATTGATTTTTTAGGTGTGTGTACAAGACTATTTGTTTTCTTGAAGATGTCGTATAAAAGTGTTGAGTGTCTGGCAACTAAATGATTTCCACTGACATTTTTTATATGTACTTTATTGTTAGAAAAACTCAATTAATAGAATGCCTGGTTATAATTCCAAATAATTGAAGCTTTATTACTGTAATTTACTGTAGGCTATAATGACCCAAATCAAATATACACGCTTTATATATTATTTAATTTTTCGTATATTATAGATTTACATAATCTACTGAAAAGGTTTCACTCAATTTTTTCCTCAAGGAAAAAAAAAAAAAAAAAAAAAACATTTCTTACTCTCTTTAACTTCCTCTTAACTCTTCAAAATGGACGCAAAACTTGCTCCAAAGAGGCCAGCATTGAACCAAACTATTCTTATATGAAAAAGATAAACTAAAAAGACTATTTGTAGACACTTATAATTCTTCTTAAAACTTATGTTAACAGCTTATTTATAATATAAACTAAATTCTTGCTTATTTATTTATCAATTACTATTATTTTTATTATCAAGTTAAAAACAAACACTTGACATTTTGTTTTTTATTTTTGTTATTTTATAGTCATGTGATTTAGATACAATAATACATGTTTGACTCAAATTAACATGTATACTTATTATGCAAGGATTAAATCATTATTTCTGAAATTTGAAAAATTCAATTCTACTTCTACCAAAATCTCAAGAAATTGCATCAAATTCACCCTTATCTTTGTTTAGATGTAACAATAAATTTTGAATTTTTAACCTAGTTTATTTTTTATTTTTATATATATTTTCTAAAGCTAATATGCATTCATTACATAATTTGACTAGTATTATATAATAGTATTGTTTAAATATACTCTTTAAAGGATCAAATTGCAAGTAAATTTGCAAGTGACATTATAAATCACCATAATTTGAATACTGAAGCACATCCACAAATCAGTAAACACTTGAGAACAGTAAAATACCAAAATAATTATGACACACATTGATCATGATAATCTGCAAAATCCAAGTAAAAAAAAAAAAAAAAAAAACTTATGAATAGATCCACATTAGAAGAATGAGAAAGGCACTGATTTTTAACCGAACTACTATTTTGTACACGTTATCATAAACAAGTGCATTCAAAAGAATAGGGTCTAAACAATTCCTTCCGAGATGCAGTTTTATCGAGGTTGGTTTGGAAGTAACAGCTATTGACTGAAAGTAAATGAAGGAACAAGGATCTTACAAGCCACAGTATGACCAGCAAGCCAGTCCAATATCAGATAAGATAATCTCAAGAAGAGCAGCAGCCACTATTCTGGTTGACAGGCTGTCCTCGAATCTGCACCGTTGGAGGTCTTGCTGTATTTGTAGCTGGCTGGCTTGCCATTCTACATTTAAAGTTGCACCAATTTTAGTATAGATGTAACGGGATCATGCATCATATGTTCATGCTCAGGTAACTGGATAAGTTAATGGTTAACAACATGTGATAAACTAAGATAGATCCAAAACCATTTGATCATCAACCATGAACAAGATCTAATCTTCTTTGCACAAAATAGATTCCAAGGCTTCCATCAAATCCAGACACTTCATTAGTATTCTAACCTGATATGACCATGTCCATGCTCTAATGGTTAACAACTTAATCGTTTTCGAACTCACAAACAACTTTTTAACTCCAGAACCACAAAAGAACTTAAAAGAAAAAGGTCAGATACTACCTCCTGAAGCCTTGACAATCAA